AAAAACTTTCTGACAGATCGCGCGCATTTTTGGCATAGTAATTAAGGCCAGTGCTACCAACTTAACAAAAAAAAAAAAGGTGCTGAAAAATATTTTAGCGCGGGCAATTTAAATGAAAATTTCCGGCATCTTTCTGGTCTGAATGTAAATCATTTGAATTTCCATTTTTTACTTTTATTTTTTTTGATTTATTTACAATTAATTTTATGTCCATATTCTCAATCAAGCGTACATATATTTATTATATTTACTCACACACCCACAGCCGTCTCTGATGTTGCACAAAATACCAAATAAAAATCTTAATCTCGACTGTTAATTTCTCTGTTGACCGTTGTGATAAAAAAATGTCGTCTTAAAATATCATCTTTATTTCGCTTGAATGCAGTAAATTTGTTTATATAAACGTCTATTCATGATAATCGTGTATGTCACATTCGACATATTTACATAATAGGAAACTCAAATATTGTAGTAGCCGTTGGTGGACGACTTTCAGCCAATGCATAATACTCTTAGCTGGCATTACGGCGGCAAAGCTACTACAAACTACTATTTACAGAAAAAGGTGAAAAAAGTATTAAAAATAATTCCTTTAAACCTGAAGTGGAAACTGGTTAAGACAGATTGGTTTATAATGATGTCGTCGGCGTCGCAATGAGATAATGGCTTGTGCGGACACTGACTACTTAGTGGCTTCAGGTGACTTCAGACGTGTGAATGCATTAAATAAATTCTTGGAGATAAATAAATATTATATATGTACACATGTACATATATATAGTTACAATTGAATGTATTTGGTATAGAAAGTCTAATTTGTGGCAAAGTTGCCTGCCGTAATGAGCATTGATTCTGTAATCTTCATTAGACAGGCTGTCAGAAATACCAAAGTGTTCTAAGCCTAGCTCAGGCTCAGCGCTGCAATGTGCACGGATTCCACAGAAGATATATTTATATATGTATATACGTACATATGTTATTTTCACTTTTCGATTGCCCAGGAGCATAACATTGCATAAAGAGTATTCTTGGAACCACTTGAAAAAAAAACTGGATACACAAAGAACCTCGATGTTTGGGTGTCACATGAGTTGACGGGGAAAAAAACCTCATAGACAGAACTTCCATCTGCGAATCGTTGATGAATCGTGACAAAATCGGCCCATGAAGGGGGTGGTGACCGGTGATTAAAAGTGAATCACTTACAGCTACATGAAACGATTACGGCCGTGTCCGAAACGCGGCCGTGTCCGAAACGCTGTGAGTCAGCACAAACTCCACTCGCCACGGCAGGATTGATTGGTGGCATCGGCAAGGAATCATCCACCATAAGCTGCTCAGCTACCGTCAAATTCCTAATTCCGACAAGAGCTCTCGGCAATTAAACCATCTGAATGGGCCAGCCCGCCAGAAGCGAGAGAGAGACAACGTCAGAGCTTACACATGGATAGCGTTCTCAAAAACTTCCGAGAGCTTGGTTGTGATGTTCTCGGCATCAAGAAAATCCTATGAAAATCGAGTGTCCTAATTTGTCGCCAATAGAGACAAGAGTTTCTATGAGAGACTCATAATGCATTATCTTCAAAATGGCAATAAATTATCAAATCAGACATTTGAAGAACCAGTTTTATGAGATCTACAATATATGATTAAGTTCTCCAACCTCGCGGGTTCTAACAACTGATTACAAATGCTGATACGTATAAAAATCTATTTAAATATCGCTGAATCTCATTCAAACAGACAGACGGACATGTCACGATAAAGTCTGCTCATCATTCTGCCCATAGCGCTATACCCTTCGATCCTTCTAGCCCTTCCGCAAACTTTTATACTTCGTACCGCCACAGACATAGCGGCGAAAATGCAGCTCTTTTTCGTACTGCCAAAGATGATTTAAAAAACGATGAAATGTTGATGTGTATCGATTATTTTCTCACACCTCTTTTCCAATTTTAAGGGCTTTACCCGACTTGAAGCCACACTGTCAAAGTCTAATCAGTTCGTCAACGGTGGTATTTATTTATTTCCCTCACGATAATTAGCTCAGTTTGTGGGGTTCCGATTTTTGTGTATCGCACGGAGCACACTTAGATTCCAACCGTCCGTCAGGTATGCTTTCGTCCAACCGAATTATGCAGAGAACGTCAGTTCCACCTCTATATATTACATTTGCACTGCCATTCAGTAGGGTGAAGAACGGTTTCCGACATAAACTGTTTATACTCTGGGCTTCCGTCGCTAGATTTACTCCTTGGGTCCCACAAGAGTATGCTCTGGTCTTGAGAACTTCTGTAAATCGCCATATCGTATCGTAGAGTTTCGTGCACTATAGCTGACGACCAGCTTCTCAAGCTCGTCATACTCACGGAACTTGATCTTTTACTTTTTTGCCTGCACATGCGCTTCGCTTCCCGCTTCAATTCTCGATGTATGCCCCACCCTGCGCAGTGTTCCCTTCTACCGAGTTGCTGTTGAATGCTCTCAGAGACGGTGAACAAGAGCGCTAGAGCAGAAGAAAACTTTTCGACAGTCTGTTGTAATTTTAGTTTTTCGACATGGAAACTTTCTTGTGTTTGTTGGCGAGCGTTCTTAGCTGCACAGAGGCGAGTGCGTATCTTCGCTGCGATAAGATCAAAACGTACGCATTTCTAGAACACTGGGGATTTGTCTTTCGTCTAATTCTGCAGTAGCTTTTTTATGCTACAGATTCCCATATTTCGGGCCGCGATGAAGGTAATAAACATCCATTTCCGTATGAGGAGCTTCTTTGCCCACTCTGACGGTTTTGAATACGTGGTAGCCTTATTGCTGCATTCTAGGAGCGCTCTTAGAAAGCATCTTTGGCCACATAGTGCTTCTCTTCCGTTGCACCGTGGGCGTTGTTGAAAAACTTCGCGTTCATTCATGGGCGCGATTGCCAGTACTCGGCGACGGAGTTTCTCTCCCCACCGCAGCTGGTAATTACAATCATTTAAATCTTAAAGTATTCGTAAGTTGTCCATTTTGCTACGAGGAAGCAATGGTTGTAAAACAATTTGTGAGTAATTAAAATTTGTTGTACAATAAAGATTTCATATAGACTTTATTACCTAACGGTTAGTAACTCTCGTGGACAAATGCTCATGTGTAAACATTCCTAACGGCATAAACAATTAATATGCAAATTATTTGAAGTGAATAAGAAAGAAATATTGCATTACAAAAGTAGAACTTACCTGTTTCTTTTACGACTCAAAGACAAAGCGTTAGAATAGTAATTATTTTTTTGCATAGAACTTAGCGTTGTATAACTGTAATTGTGGTTGGTAAGGTGATATATTCATTCTCTTAATAAAGTATATTTTATTATTAGCCATGACTGTTTTTAATTGTTGCGCAATTCAGTTTATTAGACTTTGTACAGAGAACGAGTGAATGAAAGCCCTCCAGCTCTTACTAATAGTGTTAGGTGTATGTGTGGGTGTGTACATATGTATGAGTTGTGAAGTTATTAGTTAACTCTTATAGAACTCTCTTCCGGACCACGTAAGCATGGTAGTGTTCTTTCAGGCGGTGATATCTGCTATCATGGAGTAAACAAAGCAAATCGAAGCCAGCTCTAAAGATAGAGATATCTTCATATTTAGCGACAGTCAAGCAGCAATTAAAGCAATTGCCAAATTGTGCTAGACTCTCGCAGCTCTCTGTGGGCGAGGTAAAACAGCACAAATTGTTACTCCCGTCGCTCTGTGATCACATGGATATCGAGGTAACCTCTCAAGCGGAGGAGCTTGCTAGGCGAGGTACAATTATTTTCGATAAAGAACGTATGCCTTTTGCCACATGCTTTGCTGCTTATAAGGAATTTACATATGAACAAGCCGCTTAAGGTGCACAGAAACTACAACCTGCAGCGAATTCGGGCACACCTAGCCAAAATGTGGTGAGAAGAGATCACGAGATATGATCGCCTTAAAAAGAGGGGGGTAAGTAATAGGCGACCGCGATAGCCGAGTGGTTAGCATTGTGTAGTGCCATTGGAAAGGTCAATGTTTGACTCCTTAATTTAAATTTTCTAATTGCGGTCGCCCCTCAGCAGGGATTGTCCACCTCTCCGAGTGTATTTCGGACATAAAATAAAGGCTCCATATAAAAACCCATCTGCCAGTCGGAGGCGGCTTAGTATAAGTTGTAGGACCCTCAATTTGTTGTGAAATCGCCAGAGCTCAAAATATTACATATAAGGTGTTCAATAGAAGTACTCTTGAGTCGTGTGCAGTTTTCATGTTATTTTTTTTTTTCAAGTTTATTAGGCATTTCGACATGGAAAGACCTACACCTGGACAACTCTTACAAATCGTTCAAGTTTTTTTTTTACGAAAATTCACGTTCTCTAAAAAAATATTGCACAGAAAAATGACGGTTTAGTGTGGTTTGTGGCCCGTTGAGAACGTAACTGTTAATAGCAATCGTGATTACGTCATGATAGCAAACTATTTGATGCCTGTTTTCAACTAGACGGCGCTACTTCCCGCACATCACATCAATCAATGGATTAAGAGAGCAGTTAACGTGAAAGTTTTGTCGATTGGCCACCAAGATTGTGGCATATCACACCTTTAGACTTTTTACTGTGGGGATATGTAAAGCCTAAAGTCTATGCGTACAAACCCGCTTCGATTCAGGCCTTGACGCAAAACATCACCCATATCATGCACCAGTTACCCAAGGGATCATCTAAAATTGGACTCAACGGATGTTCTAGCTGATATGTAGTCGCGGCCAATATTTGAAAGAGATAATCTTTAAAAAATAAATTCCAAAGAATTTTCTTTCGAATGAAAATAAACAGTCCACAATCTTTTAAAGGCGTTGTACTTACCAATGCAAATCAAAATACTAATTTTCATTATATTTTAAATATATTTATTTTTAGTTTAGTTTTATTTAATTTAACAATAATTAAATCAATTTAAAAAAAATATAAAACAATTTTTATTAATTTATATTTCTAGGCCTCCATGGATTTGCCGCCAGACAAAGCGAAATTACTTAAGAATTACGATGATGAAAAGAAATGGGACATAATATGTGATCAGGTGAGTTGAAATTCCTTTCCTAATACCATATAACCACTGAGTATAGTGCTGACTGAGCGATCGTGTGATAAAAACTGCCTATACTGACAAGTTGGGCGCAAAAAAAAAAAACAAAACAAAAAAAAACATCTTCTGCTGCACACCTTTTCTAACCAAAACTTGTTGCTTCACTCTCTTTCTTTTGATGGCAATAAGATTTTCACCTTCCCTTTGGCGCTTACAATTATGCCAAACAAGTTGCCAACCTACATTTTAATACACTCGTATATACATACATATAAGTATGAGTATTCCATTAACTTAAGTGTATCACGTACTGCATTGAACGTGATCGAATCTTTTGGTAGAGTCCTAACCATAAACTGATTCTGCTTCTCCATATACATATGTACATATATGTATTTATAGTATACTATGCGCCAATGGTAGCGATCATAAGCAGTCAAATATGTAACATAAAACCCATTTGCAGCGCTGAATTCAAGCATAAGTGGCAAGCGCTGAGCGAGCGAGCGAGCGATGAGTTGAATTGTAAATTTGAATGCAGTGGCAAATAATTTGAATTAAATATTGCCACACTCATTCTGCACGTGCTTGTTGTTGCCTCAATGCATTTTACATTCTATGCATTTGTTATGCAAGCAAGTCTGTCCGACTAATTTCTTGATAAAAATGCAATGCAATCAAGTGAAGCCAACCTACCTACTCTACCTACTTGGCTGGATTCACACATTCGTTTGATAAATAAAAGTCAACATACATAACTGTAGTAGCGGTGCAAATAATAGCAGTGTTGCGCACACAAGCAGGCCAGCCAAAAGTAGTAAATTTTCCAGCTCCATTTTCTTTTTAAATTTAATTCATTGTATAGTTATTGACAGCCGCGGTAGCCGAGTGGTATTACCATTCGGAGGACTAGCGTTCAAATCCTGGTGCGACCAACATCAGCAAGTTAATTTAAATAAAAAAATAAAATAAGTTAAATTTTCTAATTGCGGTCGTCCCTCCGAGTGTATTTACGACAGGAAATAAAGGCTTCTCATAAAAAAAAAAACCATCAGCTGGAGGCGGCTTAGTATAAACTGGGGGTACCTCAATTTTTTGGAGAAACGTTAAGACGCAAAACCACAAATTGGAAGAGGAGCTCGATCGAAAATTATATAATATAAAGTTAAAATTTTAGAGTTGTTTTACTGTTATTTGAAAATGAATTTTAATATTTAGCAAATAATAACATTAAGTATTAAATCTGTTGTTTTATATTCCATTGAAGACGTCAAATATGCTGGCTTTCGACGAAATTTATAAATCTGTGAAAAAATCTGTGGGGCTTTTCAAGTATTTAAAAATATTTAATTTTAGCATTAATTTGCATTTTTTTTACTTTTGTAAAAATTGCCAAAAATTCAATTTTCACTTTTTTATTTTCCTTCGAATCATCCTGTCACTCACGACTCCATTGCCAACTCTTTTCCAAGGGGTCAACGGGAAGTTATGTAATTTTTTTTCTTGATATTTCAAAATTTCTTTTGCAAGTTATATGTACAGCTATGGTCACGCAAATAGCACAAAGTGTATCATACGAGAAAATGAATAAAAAAATGTATAATAGTTACTTATGTTATCTAGTTTACAGTGCGTTTCGTACATTCCCGTTATCCTATCAATCATATTTTTTTCGTCGATTTATCTGATCGTGCTATTAGTTAGTGGTGGTCACGCAAATAGCACAGTCATCGGTTGGATCTTGAAAGTATCTTTTTATTTATTTTTAGTGAAATTTAAATACATTTAAAGTTCAGTTCTATCAAAATTTACGCAGATTGAATTAAAATGGGTTGCGGTAAACACTGTTCTCCTTAAAAAAGAATCATTATTCATAACATGGCTAAGACAGGAAAAAGTGTTTCAGAATTATTCCCGTAAAATAGTACATAATGTCTTTAAACTGGTTCAAGAGAGTGAAGATTATCTATCTCAAAACAAATCCTAGGCACCTGCTCCGCGCAAGACAACGATTTTTGAAGACAGAGCCAAAATACGAAAAAAGAGGCTAGATCCTTTTAAATTTTCTAGGCAAAAAATGCTGAAAATAAACGAAGAATTCGATTTGACTATATGAAGAGCCATGTCGGAAGGCGTTTAAATAAGACCCAGCTCTTTGGACGCAATACCCGCAAAAAACCACCCCTGTCAAAACGGCATATAGAAAAACGGTTAAAGTTTGCTAAGACGCCTGAGAACCGGGCGATAAGGTTTTGGAATAAAATGTTACGGACCGATGAAACTAAAATAAATAGAATGGAACCGGATGGGAAAACCACATTTCATCGCCAAAGAGGTCAAGATTTGAATCCTAGGTACAATAAAAAGAACATAAAACCTACAGGCGGAAATATCATGATTTGGGGGGCATTTTCCTGGCATGGCCTGGGACCAATTGTGCGGATAAATGGAAAAATGGACAAATATCAATATGGACATCTTAAAGAATGAAATCGAATGATTTGTATTTGACTCCATGCCACTAAATTGTACTTTTATGCAGGATAGTGATCCTAAGCATGCCGCGAAGGTCAGACAAGATTGGCTTAAGAAGGAAAATATTCGTGTTTTGGATTAGCCTGCGCAAATCCAAGGCCTAAACCCAAAAGAAAATTTATGAAACGATGTTAAAACAAAAATATCTGCAAAAAATTCGATGATTTGTGGGAGTACGTCAAGGAATAGTGGTACTCCATACCAAAAGAAAACTATGAGAAACTTGTTGAGAGCCTGGGACGCAGATGTGAAGCTGTTATTAAAAATCGTGGATATGCTACAAAATACTAATAGATAAGACCTACTTAAGACTAATAATGGTATATGATCTGGCATATTTAAACTTAAAATTACAAGTTTTGCAAAATGTGTTATTTGCGTGACCAGAGAATTTCATTAGGAACCTCAAACTTTCAATTATTTTAAACTTTCATTGAATTATTATTAAGTTTTTTTATAAAGGTTGTGTTAAATAATAACTGAGTGAACACATCCTTACAATATTTTCATATTTTAAGCACAAATATCCCTTTGTTTCATTATTATGTATCGGAAGGAAAGTTGTGCTATTTGCGTGCCCATAGCTGTATGTTTTCTTAAGACGGTAATAAATTTGAATAAAATATTTTAATTTTTATGTAAAAAAATTCTGTTGAAAATAGACTATTATACAAATGGAAATAGTTATTCAAGAATTTTTTCAAAAATACTATATATTTTCGATATTTTGAGTTGAGATAAATATAAACGCGAATATTTAGCAACCCTAACGCATTATTTGCTTCATTTTCATCAATATTATATTGCAATTTCCCAAGCAACAAGTTAAGTAAACCTAACATGGCATAAATGTCAACAGCAATAACAATCATCTCTGATGGAAAAGCATTTAAGAACAAGAAAGAAGTGGACAGCACTTGGCCATGCCGAAATATACAATTTTCTGTATTGCATTTCAGGACTAGATATTAATTCTCCTATGCATTTACTCCTATTTGAATCGATGTTTTTCAGTGGCAATATTTAATTGAATTTAGTTTTGTAGAATACCGAATTCCACGCTCTTGGATGCTTTTTCCCCGGATATTTGACCCTAAATCATCACATACATAGCTGAACAAGTCAGTTGTATGAAAGCAAAACGATATGGTCTATGGATCTGGCCGGTTCCGACAAATGATCAATAAATTTCAAGAATATATCCGCATATTAAATTTGGTTGAAACATCTCAAAAACTGAGAAACTAGTTTGATCGAAACTGACATACGGCAGACAATGGGTCCATCTCTTCTCTATCCCTTATTTACATGCATACTTCGTATTAAAGTTATTAAACCATTTTTTGTGCAAGAAAGGCATAAAAATGACTGGAAACTCATGTTTTATCCAATTTAAAAATAATTTTGAATAGGTGGCAGCCTTATTCTTGGTGTGTTTAATTTCATTTTAAGACGTATAAGTTTCTCACTGCTCTTATTTTGAGCGCAGCTGTACACACGAGTGCCCATACAAACATACACCTTTTCAAAAAATCAACGAAATCCACTTGTTGGTAACGACATCGTCGCCATTGCAAGCAATCATCATTGTTCGTACGCGATGGCGCACATTAGTCATCCTTGGTCGATCGAGGCAATCAGCAATTGCATGAACTCTTATTGCAACAACAGCGGTGCGGAATATACATACGTATGTAGTATGGGCAGCATAATGCTTCGCTGTGCGCTGTACACTTTGAGGCCTGCCAGGAAAGTGCATATGTATGCGTGTAACGTCTTCTTATCGCTACGAGTATTTATTACGGCCGATAATATCGGCGTTTTTCAATGGTTCGTCATCGTGTAACGTAATTTCTTATCAGTTGGCTTTTGTAATTGCAACTGGTCATAAAATATATAGAATTATTTATAATTTACTATTTTTAGTTTGTTATTATCGCTTTTATATGTTTTTTTTATTTTTTTTTTATTTTTTTTAATTATTGTGCGAATGTTTAACGGTTGCATGAATTAACAGATTTGATGAATTGTGTGTGTAGTTAGTAACTGGGAGCGTAATAATAAAAAATGACATTTTCAATTTCGATATTTTGTTTGTTGTCTTAAATTGTAGGTACTTCAAATAAAGGGTAATTTCTTTTAGCTATTAGCTTTTTGCCAACACTGGTTTAAATAGCTGACGCACGCTTTGCATGGCTGTCAAACCTCTTCAGTTTCGTTTATAAGTTAACCATGAAACGTCTTACAAACGAACTACGCTTGCAAATTATTGAATTTTATTAACAAAATGCGTGCGCTTCGAAGCTCATTTTTGGCTTAATGGGTGCGTAAATAAGCAGAATTGTCGATTTTGGAATGAAAATCAGCCAGAAATTTTGCAAGAGCTACTAATATTTCCAGAAAAAGCCACAGTTTGGTGCGGTTTATGGACTGGTGGCATCACTGGACCGCACTTCTTC